GCTGCTGAAACAGATCAGCGGCTGAATCGGGGATCCGTGGGGCAGAGCAGCTGGGGTCCTGCCGGGTTGGTTCCACAGCGCCCTAGCTGCTCTATTGCAGGCATCCCCCATTCAGCTGCTGCTGAAGCTACCCAGCAGCAGCTCAGTCAGGGACGCCTGGGGCAGAGCCGGACTATCGGAAGGGGGGGCTATGAGGGGTCTGGGGTGGCATCAACCCCCCCCTTCTGATAGTCCGGCAAATCTGATAATCTGGCACCCCCTGGGTCCTAAAGGTGCCGAATTATCGGAAGTTTACTGTATTTAACTGTAAAAGACATTCATGTTTTCTGCTAGCACAAACAGCTCAAAAGAAGCTTGAAGTGAAACCTTAATTCATGCACAGTATCGTAAACGAAGACAAAACAATTGGCCATTCTAATTTTCCATTTAAATGACTTTATCAGAGTGTAGTTTGAAAAACACTTAGCTATGGCAATTACAAACTAGTGTCTGAAGCCAACATATGGAGATCATGTTGTAATGCCTTTTTTTATTCAAAGAGAATAGAAAGGAAGCAGTTGGGAAGTTCCACCCTTTAAATTCTAAAATGTAGATAATGTTGCAAGGTTGGCCTTTGCACCCTCATTGACTAAAATATCTGGCTCCCCGAACGATGTCCAGAACTTGTGCATGTTTTGAAATAATGATTTGATACAAGTTTGAGATTTGCAGCCTCAAAGGTATTTCATATGCCAAGGCTGGACGAGTTGGCCTTCTGCCGACAGGTAATTAACTGTCATATTTTTTATAATATTCTGGGTAGATAGCAGAAAACAGTAAACATTAAATATGCCCTTTGTTTTAAGGGGTGCTAATGGTGATATCAGGAGTGCTTTAAATGTCAACGTTATTAACAATTTACTGTTTCCCAAAGTACGTCAGAAAGTCAGCACCATATTATGAAGAGTAACGCAACTTGCTCAGAGTGATCGCTCTTTTTTTTGGATAAGCCTATAAAAACACATGGCAGGGTTGAAAATGGTTTTGCTTCTCTGGAAAGTGGGCTGAGCATTCCAAAGACAGGATACCCAGAGCATGTATTGCTCCATGAAGTCTGATCTGCAGCCTCCCCCAACAGTGACCTCCATTTCAGCATCAAGGCTTTGGACTATAAGCTGTAGATTTGCCCTTGCCTATAAAGGAGCACACACTTCAATAGTGCTAGGTAGTAATTTCCATGTTTGTGGCACGTGTATACACAGATCAGCCATTCTCTACTACAGCACTTTATGAAAATTTTGCTGTGAAATGAGATCCATTTCCAACAAAGCTGAACTACCCACTGTTTCTATTCTGTATTCTAAACAAAACTGAACAGTACAATGGATGAAGTACGTTTTGGAATGTAGCCTTTTTTTTTAAAAAAAAAAGGGAATGCTGCATTTTAGCAAGTGTGTAATTTTCAGCAATAATAATGTATCAGGCTCTTCAGAATGGATTACTGAAGTTGTGGCATTGGACAGAACAACCAAACCTCTGCTTGGTCAGCTTTTGGCAGCCTATTCTCTAGAATGGACAGGCTAAACTGGAGCACGGGTGTTACAATACATGACTTTCATGAGTACTATTGTGCGATGCTTAACTTTTAAAAAAGAAACACAGCAAGCTTTAAAACAATCTCTCCAGCTATTTGAATGTCTAGACATATGTCAATTTGAGATTGACATGCCAATCTTTTGAAAAAGAGGGAGACAGCTGGCATTCAGCCTCACTGGTTAGCATTTTAGTGTCATTTTACCAAAGAAAAATTAAACTAAAGCAACAGTTCAGAAGCAACACATTAATACTCCAGTGACCTCTGGTGGAAAGTGTGAGAATGTGTGATTTTTTTTTTTTTTTTTTTTTTGGGTCACTGCATTGAAGGGACAGCAGCGTACTGTGTGCACATCTTCAGTGTTAGTGAAATTGCACCTGGACCACAGAATGGAAATGTAGTTTGTGTGAATAATACCTGGTACATACATATTCACTGGTTGTAATGGCAGTTCTTTTTTTAGATGCACCATTTCCCCACCCATTTTCAATTTCTTTCCTTCCCTGCCCTCTGTGGCACCGTTCTTTGTTCATGTGTAAACGGGCCCAAGAAGCTGTGTATTAGCATGACATTTCAGATTTGTAATATCTGTCTGTATTGTTCAAACAGTACATTGGGTTAAGAGTGGGCGTTCCCTTGGAGATAGCTGAATGGTTCCAGCATGACAAAATTATAGTGGCAGCTTCTTTTGATATGAAAACACAAGTGGCTGAACTGTATTGGTGCTTATTCACTGGTACTGCCTAACTTACCCTTTTTGTCATTCGTTGGCAACT